CCCAGGTCACATTCTTGTAGGTTGTTACTTAATGGTCCTACATATAACTAAAAAACATAAGAGAAAACATAGTAGTCCAGTATTCATTATAAGTATGTTGTTGCTACCTCGAAGCTGCTGTATACAAATCAGAGAATCCAGAAAATATTATCTTTGGATATAGAACATTTAGAAGGTGAAATGTGTGTTCATGGGGAGACAAGGGCAGTCACAGCTATTATCAAAGGAAAACATGATCTCGAGGACTCTGGTGACCTGTGAAACACCTTCAACTATGAATTCCTGAAGATACATAAAAATTGCTTAACGCGTCAGTCTTGCATGGGTCAACGTGAGGCATTATTGTAAGGGCTTTATTACAGTAAGTGAGCTGTAATAGCACAGGAGGTTTATACAAGAAGTTGTTTCGATGTCTTAATGTCATCTTAAGAACTGAAAAGGAGGAGCTTCTGAGGAAAGTTGATGAGGAAATGGAAGTTCCTTTTCGTGATGACAATCGACCAAATGTTATAATAATGATATATTACTGCACCCTAACAGCTGAGGTCTTAAAGTGTGTATTCTGGGTTAGAAATACACAAGGCATCAACAATTAAAAAGTAAGAGAAATACGTCTCTCTGGTCCACACTACTGTCTAGCTAATGTTCAAGATGCTTAAATCCAAAGACTCGAGCTTATTCCATACACATAACTGATTTAAGTCTCGTAGTGAACACAGATGAAGTGAGTTTCCTCGTAGGACTGCCCTCAGGAGGTGTCTGGGGGAGGAGAACGTCTATAAAACTTCTGATGGATACGGAATGACCAGTCAAGAAGAGCGATGACGGAACCAGAAGGATATCTGCCCAGAGGCTCACACACGAACACGCTCCACCACACACACACACACACACACACACACACTCCAAACATATACTCAATATCTTTTCACCTTCCAGCGCCCACAAATAATGAACATTCTCCAGTGTCGTATATATATATACAGTATATATAAGTACACGTACACATATTAAGAGAAATTATTACAGTCTTTATACTTCATGTTGGTGATTCCTCGTGTCCTCTAAATCTAAAGGTGACTTGTGACATCCCTCTTTAGTCTCAGTGACATATGATCTATCTTGAATATTTGGTGACTTATAGACCCTCTTAAATGCTTGGTGACTTGTGCTGAGTTTAATTTTAGCCGAGTTGGGTTCTGTTAGACCTTGAAGATTTGGGTGACTCTTAATCCTTCTTAAATGTTGTTGATATATTATGTGTTTAATTTTAGTCCACTTGTGTTGTGTATATAATGAATATATCTAAAAAAAAAGAAGCTTGGTGACCTGTGTTCTTTAACTTGGTGTTGTGGTGGGGTTTAACTTTACATTACCGTAAATATAACCTTAAGGACTAGTGTACCATGATTAAGGATGGTGATCTATACCCTATTGTACTAAATATTGTTGGGTCTTGGTGCTTTGTTGGTGACTTGATGAAGGAGCGGATTATTAACGAGTGTTTTTCTGTTTCATAGTGGTGATTTTTGTAGTCTATTCTGTAGTCTTGGTGAAATGATGGGTGAGGCTATTGGCGCTTATCTCTTAAGACAACTGGGCGTAACTTAACTATGATTTCGAGGAATATATTGGGAGACGTTAAGAAAAATTAAACACCCTAACCTAACCTAACCTAACCTATCCTAATAAAACCTAATCTAACCTAACCTAACCTAACCCAACCTAACCTAACTTTTCCTAATAAAACCTAATCTAACCTAATATAACCTAACTTAACCCCCCCCCAAGAAGAATTAGGGTGTTTAATCGTCAGGTGAAGTAAATTGGGGACTAATCTCCAGGTATTCCAATTTGGGTTTTGTTTGTAGCCGTAAAGGTGAAAGGAAGTTGGGGCATCCTAATATAAACAAAATATGTTCAGTTGACTTAAGAGTCAAAATTCCAAGTCTCTGTTATGTATTTAGTGTAACCTATAATAACTACAATTAGTAACTTGTCTTAAATTATATAAATCTCTCTGACTTAAGATGTCTGAGAAATCTTATAATGTTTTTATTTCATCTCAAATTTGGCTCAGTTCCTAGTTTCCTCCTTCCTTAATGTCGAACTAACATGACCTCACTTTACTGACATGCGTGTTTATATCCTCGTACAGTATTTAGTAATATTTAAGGTTAAGCAGCTGGTGGTTACAAAATTGATGTTGATGTTGAAAGTTATACGAGAACAATAAATTTATCACCTGATCTGGATAATGTGAGATATGATGGACTATTTCTCGTGTCATTGTTTAAATTTCATACATTTTGAGGAATAATTTGTCTCAGTGATAAATTTAACATATTTTTATCTTAAACGAATAAGGAAAAAATATATATGAATGAACACAATACAAAATATAAGTGAATACCATCATTACTAAACTAATCAACCTATTCCGGTCTCAACTAACCTAACCTAACCTCAGCTCACTTAATCTAATCTAACCTAATTTAAAGAAACTGGTCACGTCAGATAACAAAAGTGTTCTGAGGTGAAGTAAAGTTAATTTTCATCCATTTACACTAATGATTGAGGTACAAACAATAATAACACAAAATATATCGATTACACAAGAAAGTCGGAGGTGTTGTAATACTTAGATACGGAAAATTATACCTTAAAACACATGCCATAAATAGGTGGTAAGTGAATAAAACAGTTACCAAGGATCTCCAGATTGAAGGAGTGACAGGAAACAGACTAAAATATTTCTAGGTCGAGCTGTCGATTGAGGTCATGTCCATCAATAAAAACCAAGTATTGAAAAAAAAAATAAAAATAATCACCAACATTGAATGACAATAAATATCAATTCATTTATTCACTTAAAGATTAAAATTCACTCTGAATCATAAAATTATATCTATGTTATCTATGTAAACAACCACTGTGGATAAGATTCTGAATAAGGCGATGAGAACTTTATATAGATAGTGTTGATGTTGTTATAATGTATTACTGTGACTGAATAATTAAGGTATTTAAAGTGTGTAGTCTAGGTAAATAGGCCTACTCATACGCTTGTTATCATTAATTAAAGAAACACCTGATGATTAGGTCGTCCCAGGCTAATTCACTCGAAGTTCAATTAATGACCCTAAAAAAACCTGGTGGTGGGGTTAGGTTAGGTTTGCGTTAGAATGCCTCATGTTCAGGTAATCCAAGTTCACCTGCCAGTCATAAAAACAAGTAGTTCAAGGTGACTATCGAGGGAAAGTCGAAACTCTTAAGTCCCAGTTACAAATTTTTCCCTAGGAAGCAGAAAAATACATTACATCATTGAACGTCTATTATTTTATCAACGGGTCGGAAAAATCCAGTGGATAATTCATCATCGTTCCTCAATTTAATTTCACAGTGGTTGAGATAAAAATTATTAGTTGACACTCCCGGCCTTGTTGATAACTGGTTTCCCCTTCCCCGGTGAGCAGGGAAGGTCTGGGTTATTTGTCTTCACACGTCGAAGGTAAAAAAAAAAAGTAAAAATCTTACGAAAATGAGAAAATATCATAAGTGAAAAGAAAACAACAATAACTTACCGAAGGAAACATGAATTTGTTTATTTTTAAAAGTTAAGGTCAAATAAATATATATTAACCATGAAATTTGAGAATATCTTAAAAAAAAACCTTTTATTTTACAGTGTATAAGGAAGTATAAACTTTTTAAAAATATATAAGAAAATTAATTTATATATAGAAACTAAGAAAAATTACATTAAAATCAAAACAACATAAGACTTCCTCGGTGTAGAAGGAAGCTTTAGTTTGTCTATCTTTACACAACCAAGGTAAAATAATCTCTTAATAAAACTACGAGAGGAAAAAAAAAACACTAAAAATAATCCCAAGAAATAATAACAGTAAATTAATCTCAGTCTCATTATATTTACATTCTTATTTCTTGTTTACTTTTCCTTGAGCTAATTTAACACAGTTTTTTTTTTCCTTTTTCCTTCTGTCTTTAAACAATCTCAGTAGTCGATCACTCACTTGGGATCTCGGGAGTCATTTTTTCCTGTCCTTCGGGAAATTTTTGTAACGTGTCTCATTGAACGGGAGGAGTTAATTGAGGTGTGTACGTTGCATTTTACACTCGGGATCATTTAAATCATTTAATTCTATCCTCTTATCATTTTAGTTCGTTGATTTAATTCTATTTTCTCTCTATTCTCTCTCTCTCTTTGTTTTTGGATTACTTTGTATTTTTGTTATGGAACTTTGTCTTCTCTTCCTTGTTCGTCAATTGTTTTTTTTGTTTTGCCCTTTGTTATTAAAGTTTATTGTATGTTGTTGAATGGTGGTTTTGTGTTTGTGACCTCTCTCTGTGTCTTTACATTTACCTTCCACTGTTTACTTAAAAAATCTTATTTTTAATTCTCCTGACATCATAACGGTGAAGTTCGCTCGTTCGTACTGTACTGCCGTTGTTATCTTTCGTTATCATGCCTCGGGTCTTATATATTAATGATGATTTTCCATAAGGCTCTATAATATATTACGATATATTAGTATTCTTCTACCATCTCTGATTTATATACCATCCATCTTTATTCACCCTTCAGTCTCTCTCTCTCTCTCTCTCTCTCTCTCTCTCTCTCTCTCTAGCCTCCACCTATTCTCAGCTCCTCACTTGTTCCTCTTCCTTATTGTATTTGTCTCACGGTCCTTCATCATTCTCCCTCATCTGTCTTTCCCTTCCTCCCTCTTCTTCCATCTTCCTCCTTAGCCCTTACTTTTCTTCCTTCATCCCCCTTCTTCCTTCCCACTTTCTCCCATTTTCTTCATTTTTCCTTCAGTTGGCCCCAGAAAACCCTCCTTAAGGTGGCCCCAGTAAACCCTCCTTAAGGTGGCTCCAGTAAACCCTCCTTAAGGCCCCAGTAAACCCTCCTTCAGGTGGTGGTAGGCCCTCCTTCAGGTGGCCCCAGTAAGCCCTGGCCCCAGTCCCTCCTCCAGGTGGCCCCAGTAAACCCTCCTGGCCCCAGTAAACCAGGTGGCCCCAGTAAACCTCCTCCAGGTGGCCCCAGTAAAGGGTGGCCCCTGGTGGCCCCAGTAAACCCTCCTCAGGTGGCCCCAGTAAACCCTCCTCCAGGTGGCCCCAGTAAACCCTCCTCCCAGTCCCTCTTCCAGGTGGCCCCAGAAAACCCTCCTTCAGGTGGCCCCAGTAAACCCTCCTTCAGGTGGCCCCAGTAAACCCTCCTCCAGGTGGCCCCAGTAAACCCTCCTCCAGGTGGCCCCAGTTAACCCTCCTCCAGGTGGCCCCAGTTAACCCTCCTCCAGGTGGCCCCAGTAAACCCTCCTCCAGGTGGCCATGAGCTCTCCTTCAGGTGTGGTGTGACGTCAGCTCCCACCTTCTAAAAATAACACCAGCTTGAAGAGGAATTTGATTTGCTAGTCTTTACAGATCACTGAAATATTTTATATTCGGGTAATTTCAGGTTGCTTCAAGTCCTTCATTCTCTCTTCATTGTTGTCATCTTTCTCTTTATATATCTTTATCTCTACCTCGCTCCTCCTTCTAAGCCTTTGTCTACCCTCAGCACTCATGGTGTTCTCTGTTTCTCTCTCTCTCTCTCTCTACCCTACATTCATCCTCCCTATCTCTCATCTTTGCTTATCACATACACTGTCAGTCCTCCCTTTACCTCCCTCACTCCCTCATCACTCATTCCCTGACCATCCATCCCTCATCACTCACACCCCTCTTCCCCTCACAACCTACCTCACCTCTCATGCCTCAACATTCCTACCTGTGACTAAACCTCACCTCTCCATCACCTTAATTAGCTCGGCGAAAAGAATGTGCGCGTGAGGCATGTATTTTTAAGTCGCACTGCGCAGGTGGTGGGGTAAATAGATTAATCAACACGAGGTCGAGAAGGTATTGAGCTTGATGGAACAATGGGAGTGAAGAAGTCGGGCGGGTTTTATGTTGTTTGACAAACGTTAATTCGCCTGGGACCAGGATGTTGTGTGTGTGTGTGTGTGTGTGTGTGTGTGTGTGTGTGAAATCTTTATTACTGTCTAAAGTCAGATACAGAAGTGATGTTTCTGTGATGTTTCTGCGAGGCTTTTAATGGGTTGAATCTCTGTTCTGTAGAGCCGAGAAGATATACCCCGTTTCATTATTTCCCCTCCCTACCACCCACACCTACCCTCACTACCACCCACACTCACCCTCACTACACCCACACCCACCATATCTACCACCAACACCCACCCACCCAACCACGCCTCCCTGGCACACCGGATCACCCTCTCACCCTCCACCAGGACTCAACATTCACCCAAAGAATAACTGCCTGGATGAACAGTACACCACAGTGAGATCCTGCCGGAGCCCCTTCTGAGGGTTCCTACCGCTTAGGACCCGAAGGATGCTGGACATTAATATATTATTCCACTTTTAAGAAGACACAATATCGCCAGCTTCGACAGTCAGCAGCAAAATCTTCACTCAACGGGTGTCATTTATAGCTGTAAGCGTGCTAATGGGGTTTTAAGACTCGTATTGGTTGAAGAAATCCAGAAGGCGAACTCGAGAATGTGTATTTGAGGCTATTATGAGGGAGCAAGATCGTAAAGCCTCGCAACATATTAACAATACGACCCTTTAAAGCGTCTCCCGTGTCAGAATTATAGTTTTAAAAATGCGTAGACTGAGAGGCGTGGTGTAGTGGTCGGCGGGGGTGCTTGGTGGCGGCGGTGCAGGAGGTGAGCTTCCATACCTGCTAATGGCCCTCGTCGAAGATCCTATCAAGGGTCTTGCGGTGAGCCGATGAAGAGGCTTACACTCCTGCAGCTGCTCCCGGATCTCCGCCGACCGGTTTGTACGGACTCTGTGTGGTCTACCTTGGAGGAGGACCCCCGCGTTCTCTTAGGATTCTCGAAGGATTGTGAAAGAATACAGACTTTTTGTGGGAACTCTCCAGGCTACAAGAGGACCCCTGCATTCTTTAGAGTCCCCATCGAATACTAAAATAAAACTCACCGTGTTGTAGGATTCCCAAGGCTTTAAAGAGAAAAAAAAATCGAGGTGTAGGACTCCATTGACCTACAATAAAAATCCGATGTTTTGTTGAACTTCAGTTATCTTGTGAATGGAAACTCGTGATTCATTGGATCTCAGCGTTTTACGGTAGGTTGTGTCTTTCCACCAATATCCGGTAAGTAAAATGATTCCTGTATTCGAAGTTAATTAAATTTGAATATTATTAAGACCCTCGTAAGATTTTGATAATTTCATGAATTCTACATAACGCAAACGCACACAGTCCATGGACAAAAATTCACTGTAGCCTAAAAATAAAGGTAAATTCTCCTTGTGGATATAAAACAAAGGAAGCTGGAAAATCAACTAATATAACGCACTGAGACTCTCATACAATCTCCTGTCTGCGCCACTCTAAACTGTGACCCATTGCCATTTTCTTCATTTCATGTTTCTTTATCTTAAAGTGTCGCACATTGTTCTCTGTCCACTCCACAATCCTCCTCCATCTGGGCCGTTCCTCTGCCGCTTTCGTCACCCTCCACCTCTCCTCCTCCGCTCTTTCAATTCATCTTTTTTACGTTAAGTCTTATAGATGCGTAAGTCATTACTTTATTCTCCATCCATTGTCTGATGACTTCTCTTGAGTTTTTATATCTTCCCCTTTACGTAAAAAGTGGATCCTTTGTTCCCACTATTGAACAAAACTCTTGTCTAGTCTATGGAATTAACTGGATTAGGCATTCCAGCTTATTTTACCTTAAGATTAACCTAATCTAACCTAACCTAACCTAACCTAACCTAACCAACAAATAGCGTTAGTGTGTTTAAACCAACAGGTGAGATAAAATGAGTTGGTTAATTTTCATGTGATCCAAAAGAGAAGTAATATATCACCATGACCAAGAACATCAACGATCCCTCCTTCCCCTCGTTAGCTAATACAGAAGATGGACTCACTCACTCCAGAGCCAACACGTAGTCGCTCTCTCTAAACCAAACAAGGTTATTTAACACCTGTGTCCTGCACGCCCTCGTCCATCAATCTCTTGTACTGGTAAAAGAGGCAGCTTGTTACTCCCACCACCAGGGCGTTACCTCATATTATCTCTCTCTCTCTCTCTCTCTCTCTCTCTCTCTCTCACGACATATACATCTATTCTGAGACTTATTTCGGAGCTTTATAAAGGGCAATCTTGCTTATGTTTTCCAGTCAATTTTGAGTTAGTATGGACATAGTGATAATTAGACTATACTTCTTAAATAGTTTTGTAGTTATTTAAGTTAATGTAATGAGCTGTTTGAATTACAGCACTGGATCCCTGAGATGTTCATGACCTAGGCTACACCCCATGACCTAGGCTACACCCCATGATCTAGGCTACACCCCATGATCTAGGCTACACCCCATGACCTAGGCTACACCCCATGAAGGCTAGACCTGCTACACCCCATGACCTAGACCTAGCTACACCCCATGACCTGGGACCTAGGCTACACCCCATGACCTAGGCCACACCCCCATACACCCCCATGGGGCTACACCCCATGACCTGAGCTACACCCCATGATCCTACACCATGGGCTACACCCCATGACCTGAGGCTACACCCCATGATCTAGGCCACACCCCATGACCCAGCTACACCCCATGACTGAGGCTACACCCCATGACATGACTATACACCCATGACCTAGGCCCCCCATGACCACCCCTATGCACCCCTACTACACCCCATGACCTAGATATGACCTAGCCATGATACTAGGGGCTACACCCCATGACCTAGGCTACACCCCATGACCCTACCAGGCTACACCCCATGACCTAGGCTACACCCCATGACCTAGGCTACACCCCATGACCTAGGCTACACCCCATGACCTAGGCTACACCCCATGACCTAGGCTACACCCCATGATCTAGGATACACCCCAAAGGCCGTTCTGATGCTCTTATCATACACCTTCTTGATACACCTCGTGACCCACGTTAAGACCACCTCAGAGGTCTTACTCTAGTCTTTTTGACCACACCCTATAATCTCTCTTTATCTCTGCCCTTCTTTCTTTCTCTCGTTGTTTTTCTCATTTTCTTCCCTCATCTGTCTCTCCTTCTTTCCTCTTCTCTCTTAATCATTATGCCTCTTTCTCTATCTGCCTCCCTCTGTTTCTGTTTTTTCTCTCTCTCTATCTATCTTTCTTTGCGTCTGTTCTCTTATCTATTTATTGCCCTCTGAGTTACCTTCTCGCAGTCCTTGGCCTGTTCCTCCCCCCCCCCACAGATGTAGCCTCTGTGTAGTGTTCACTGTAATATTTCTCGAACACCGATTTTTAAGGAGTTAAAAATCATGATTAAATGCACCCACCCACCCGAACGCACCCACCCACCCGAACACACCCAGCAACCCTAACGCACCCACCCACCCGAACGCACCCACCCACCCGAACGCACCCACCCAAACGCACCCAGCAACCTAACGCACCTACCTACCTTCACCCATTTGACCCCCTCCTCACCCATTTGACCCCCTCCATCTTCCCGACCACCTACCACACCCACTGACATACGACTACCTATTACATCCACCTACCAGACTTACCTACCACACCCATCTAACACACTCCCCTACCACACCCTTTTGACATGCTTACGGTCCAGGTATGCAACCCTTACCTATCATACAGGTATATCTTACTATCTTGAGTTATACACCTCCCTCCCCCCCCCGCGCCACACACTGCCCTCCTCTTCTATGTCTATCTATGTAGGCCTAAGTACACTACAAATCGTAATGTAAAAATAGAGACACTTGTTAATACACTTCATTAAAAGGAACGAAATCAGCTGATATCACAGATTAATTTTTTTTATCCACCTTGAAACACCTGTAAAAATCGATCACCTGACTTCACTTTACCTTGGAACACTTAATGGACCTCAATCCTAATGGACCTAGATCCTATTAGGTCCTAATCCAAATGGGCCCCAGACGTGATGGATAGGTGTAGGTTAGATAGGGGATCCCATTAAGATCTATAATAATATCCAGACACTTGACAGTACGGTAGAGGTTGTTGTATCAGATGGGGTAATTTTGCTCTGATAGTATATTGATAATTCCCTTGTAGTAGGTAATTGCATCTTCCTATTACACCTACACGGGGAGAGGGAGGGAGGGGGAGGTGGGGAGAGGGAGGG